TTTTAATTCGACATAACTGAATCAGCGGTTAAAATGGTTTAAGTTGAAATCATCCCCCATCGCAAACATGCTCACATCACCCTGAAGGAACATAAACGACCGAATGAACCAGCAGAAGACACTCCCAGCTATGGAGTATGCCAAGAGGTTGAGTGCTATCGAGACACCCGGAATCGATACACTACGAGATTCATTGCAGCATCGTGGAGTACAAACGAAACAGCATCGATTCTCAATGGAACCTCGAGCCATATATACCATAGACTCACCGAGTATCCGAGCAATGGACTCGTCTGCATACATGTTTGCCTCATCGGTCCATCGTTCCACGTTGCAAAATGTGCGCACATCGTTCACATCATAGACAATTATGATGCCATGAGCACCGCGGTAATAACTGAAGTGAAACAAGGAAGAGCGACGGAAAGTGGAGATGTACGCATGAATTCTATTCGTGTAGTATAGGAACTCGAACTCAGTGGATAAACGGATATCCCACAAAAACAGCATAGAGCAGTTCAGTTCACTTTGTACAACCATTAACCACGCACTTGTGTGCGCCGGTTTTGGTTGCTGTCTTTTGGCTGCCCATTTGGATAAACAATAGGAGAAAGGCAGGAAAGTTGAAAGTAGAGTCGAACAAAAAATGGAGAATTACAGTGGTCTCAGGTTGCAAAGAAATTGAGAAGATGCACGAACACCACTGTTTACGAGCGCCACAAGTTAAATGCATTCTGTAAATATGTGAACACTGCATCCAAAATCTATCATTCTCGTTACATATTACTTTGTAACTTAACGTGTCATAGGCTTTTGGTCGAACGAACGTAATCAAGAAGATGGAGGGGAACACTCGGATCTGCTACCCAGTCGTTTGTCCGAACAATCTACGTACTTTTCCACTCCAAACAACCTAGAGACTGTCATTTACTCAGGTAAGCTGAAATCTTCAGAGAGAAGAACACCTCTAAAAGCAAAACAATAGCTCCCGGAGGAGACGGTATCCTCTTGGCAATCTGCCAAGCACATCCCCAGACAATAATGACCGGTCGTCTAGAAATGCTGTTTGATTTAATTTCGGAATCGAAATCAAATTCCAAAGATGGGCAACATAAATTCCACTCCCTGCCCTCTCCCCTCCCCCAAAAAGGGTGAGGAAACAAAATGCAGCAGCTAACTAAGTCAGGTTTATTGACATAACTATCAGGATGTTTGGGATGCTAATTCTCAATCACTTCACAATCACCGGAGTTGACTGAACCGGTTCCAACAATGGTAATTTCTGTTGATAACGGGGTGAATCGAGTGGTCGTTTGCTGCGGACAGAATTTCAAAACACTGATGCAAGTTCCAACAGCCGACAACCGCCTGCATGCAGCCTTTGATTCCGTAAACAGGACGCAATTGTAAATTGTCATGCATTCTCGTAGAACGTTCACAACCGGAACCTTCGGCTACCCAAAGCCTAACTCGCAAAACAGCGGGGCGTTGTGTGAAAACCGTAATCCGATGGAGGCCAGCATCCGGTTCATCGGATCGGACGCCCATTGGACGGAGTCAAACGTCCAGGGTACCCAATACACCTCGATACCCAATGGAGTGGGCGAGCACAACCACATCCAGAAAGGTGTGGATGTGTGTAATTCGTACGACTCTTCTTGGTTAGTTTGAAATCTGGATTTTAAGCCACCTCTTCTACGTGAACTGCTAGTGGTTCACCGACCTAGTTATAACCCCGGATATTGGCTTTTCGACCTCTCACTTTGGTGGGAAAATACCTCTGCCACGAGAAGGCAATTAATAGAGCTTCCTCAGCAGAAGCTATCTGAGACACTTGATCGTACGGGAGCATTTCGCGAGCTGCAGGGGAGAGCTGACCAGTCGCAACTAGAGACACCCACTCCTGACCATTTTGAGGCCTTCAGAGGTGAGGCGTTTGATACCCTGTAACGTTTTCCTTAGAAAATAATTGTAAATAAACTAAACAGAGGGCTATTATTAGTAGTGGTATTCCTGTCCCACAAGCAAAATGGGAATAAGCTTTACGAGTAATTGAGACAACGATTCACAACACAGACCAACATAGCTAATGGACTGATATCGCCATATATATTGGCATGAATCTTGACGAGACTAAAGTGAATTGGATCCGACCTGAGCTTAATTCACTTCATACCCAAGGATGATCGGACGTTCTGCAAACGATCACGGTCACGAAAACACGTGCACCGGCGTGAATGGATTCTTATCGATTTTTTCTCCATCGCAGACTGGGACACTGGCGGTGAATTTAGCTCCCCCCACCGATTTTCACAAGGCGAAACATACCGATTGAGAAGGATACACATATTATGCACGCAGTGCAACTTTAATCCAAATGTATGACCTGAAAATCGACCTGACACTCGGACAAACTTGCAGTCCGACCAACACACCACTCGATTGATGTTGCCGATACGCCTGTCGTCCATACGTGCGGGTGTCTGACGAAAGAGGAAGTTAATCGACTCCGTGTAAAAGTACCAAACAACGGAGCATTTACCCAGTCTGCTGGCCTGTTGGTTCATCATGGAATTCATACTGAAATGCCCCCCCCCTCTGAAGGTAGTGTTGAAAGCTAACAAAAAGGTATGAATTTGCCACGCTCAAACTACCGTAACCCAAACCTGAGTGATGAACCAGCCAAAAGTATCGAAACCGCAAACTGACTGCTTTGATCAATACACCCATGGTTACCTACCGCTACATATATATAAATGACAGAGGGGAGAGGGACAACGATCAATTTAATTTACAAAACATAAAAACAATGACGGTGGCTCTCGTCTGATGAGCATCCAAGTTTTGTGTAGAACATGATAAGCATCATACGGCCATTTGTGATTAGAACCAACCAGTAAATAAACGTGAATCAGTGAATTGCAGGACGTTAGAAACAAAGCACAATCACAAATCTTCGACAATGCGAAGGAGATAACTATGTTAATATAGAGAACATTACAAGACACCATCCTCAGTCTATCGAAATTGAATCGGCACCACTGTCCATTTGCACTGCATAAAGAGTAGGTCGTAACATCAATGTTTCATCCACAGTATGCAAGTAAGGAAGGTAATTCATCACACCACATTACATCACCTGGCGGACGGATCATAGATGAAGTGTCGGCACGCATACAGAAGGCTCGTTTGGGATTTGCCAACTTGGAACATCACT